ATGGAACTGCACGGAGCTCCCCTGACCCCAGGGGACACGGCCACAGTCCTCCAGGAGGCATTACGAGCATTCAAAGAGTAGAGGTGGCTGAGGGAGTTCAGTTTGGCCAAGTGTTTGTGGAACATGCAGTTAACTGTGGGCTTGATCCCTAGCATGGTGATGAAAGGCTGTAATCCCAGCACTTGGAGAATGGAGGCAGGAAGATGCCATCTCAGCCCACACACCCCTTTGAGAATGTTCCATTGGACATTTACATAGTGGAAAATCACTTTGTGGGGCTGGAGAGATGGCTTGGGAATTTAGAATCCATCCTGTTCTTCCAGGACTCAAGTTCAGTTCCCAACACCCACGTCAGGAAATTCACAATGGCACCTAACTCCATCTCCAGGGGATCTGGCACCCTCTTCTAGCTTCTGGAGATGTCTGCACACACACATATACACAGACACCCCAACACATAAGGGAAATAAAAAGTAAAACTGTAAAATATGTTTGTTTTTTGGGGACAGTGGACTGACTCCTAGAGATCATCCTGGCACAAAGAGAAAGGCAGGGGCTGGCCCTGCAGAACAACCTACATTCTGAGAGATCACAGGGTCTAGCCAAACAAGCCCGGGCGGGGGTGCGGAGGAATCCCGCCTCAGCACCCTTTATGCCCAGATGAAGGGATCCCATAGCCGAGGACGGACTCACCTACTATCCTCACACTCAGACATTAACTCATTGAACCCCACAAAATCTCTGATCCTTGGTGTCCTCCAAGGTTAGAGACTGTGGCGGGCGTGGAGAGGCACGATCATCCTCAGTTATACAGTGAACGTAAGGCCATTCTGAGATACCTGAGACCCTATCCAAAAACAGAGGGGTGGGTGTGGTGGAGTGAGCTAGGTGTGGAAACACACAACGGTAATCTCAGAATTTGGGAGGCTAATGCAAGAGAATCTCAAATTCCACGCTTGCCCGGACTACACAGCGGACCAACAAAGACTAGAGCATAGCTGGTAACCATTGTGAGTGTTCAGGACAAGCTCTCACAGAAAGAAAAATTATATATATATATATATATATATATATATATATATATATGATATAATATAGTAATTATATATTATTATATTGCATATATATATCTCCCCCACCCAAAATGTCACTACTAGACCTAAATTACATGGAGAGACAATGTCTTAATTTTTTTTAAGGCCAGATGTGGTGATGCACACACCTTTAGTCCCAGAACGTGGGAGACACAGCAGGCAGAGGTCTGTGAGGAATACTCCAGGCACAGAGTCTAAACCAGTCAGGGCTACGTCGTGAAACCCTGTCTCAAAAACAGAAAGGAAAAAAAAAATGTCATTTGTGCCAGAGCTTGAGAAACTGGTTCACAGGGATGAACTGAGGAGCCGTGAAGACAGCTCCTGCCCAGCAATTCACCACAGGGAGGATGCCCTGCCAACAGCTCCTCGTCAACATACGGGCCTCTTCTAGATTGTCAGTGACTTCCTGTTAGCACTCTGTGGACAGGAACTATGAACCTCGAGGTATCTTCCTGCATTTAAAAAAATAATAAGTCACAGGGCCTAGGGAGATGGTCTGGTCTGAGGGAAAGTGTTTGGTATGTGGGCACAAGAACCCGGATTCAGATCCTCAGCATCCTCCTGAAAACACTGGGCCCACTGGTGCACACCTGCAATCCCAGTGCTGGCGGACAGAGGCAGGGGGATTCCTGTGGCTTGCTGGCCAGCCAGCTTAGCCTCAGTTGTGAGTTTCAAGGTCAGTTAGAGACCCAACCTAAAAGACAGGCAGATTCAAGTCAAGTCAGACAAAATCCCAGCATGGGTTGGGGAGGGGTCACCAAGTCCCACCCCTAGCTGAGGAGCTATTGGTGGTTGTCAGCACCTTGGAGAGGGAGGGAATTTTCTTCAGGGATGTTGCAGTAGGTGTGTGTACACACAGGCTGCACAGAGTAGACTCAGTGGGTTTCTAAAGAGCACATGAAGTTGGAGGGGGAGGTGATACGGGAAGGGACTGAAGGAGTGGGAATGGGGGTGGGTGGATTCGATCAAAATTCATTATACGCAAGTACAACATTTTCTTTGTTTTCATGTTTTGTTTTATTTTGTTTTGTGAGACAGGGTTTCTCTGTGTAGCCCTGGCTATCCCGGAACTCACTGTGTAGACCAGGCTGGCCTCAAACTCACGGAGACCCACTTGCAGAAAGTTGGGATTAAAGGTGTGCATCACCTCTGCCCGGCTGCAAGTATAGAATTCTCAAATAAAAAATAAAGGTGGAAAGAAGTTGGAGACTTCAAATATACACAAAACTGTCACACATTTAATCCCAACACTCGGGAGGCAGAGGCAGGCGGATCTCTGTGAGTTCGAGGCCAGCCTGGTCTATAAGAGCTAGTTCCAGGACAGGTTCCAAAGCCACAGAGAAACCCCATCTTGAAAAACAAACAAACAAAACACAAAAACTTGTCACACAAACATTTAGATGTCTTGTTACACACATATGTGGTGTGTGTGTATGTGTAAGCATGTCCATGCGACAAATGTAGCGGTCAGAGGACAACTTGTGGAAGTCGGTTCTCTCCTTCCTTCATGTGGATCGGGTAGATGGGGGCCCAGACTCAGGCTTGTGCAAGCTCCTTTACTAGCTCGGCCATATCACCAGCCCACACACACCTTTGGGAATGTTCCGTTGGACATTTACACAGTGGAAAATCACTTCGAGGGGCTGGAGAGATGGCTCGGGAGTTTAGAATCCATCCTGTTCTTCCAGGACTCAAGTTCAGTTCCCAACACCCACGTCAGGAAACTTACAATGGCACCTAACTCCATCTCTAGGAGATCTGGCACCCTCTTCTAGCTTCTGGAGATGTCTGCACGCACACATATACACAGACACCCCAACACATAAGGGAAATAAAAAGTATAACTGCAAAATGTGTTTGTTTTCGGGGGACACTGGATATATCATCCATGTGTCATCTACCTACTTTTTTCATTTTTGTTTTGTTTTGCTTTTTGAGACAGGGTTTCTCTGTTGTAGCTTTGGAGCCCCCATCCTGAAACTTGCTCTGTAGACCAGGTTGGCCTTGAACTCACAGAGATCCGCCTGCCTCTGCCTCCCAAATGCTGAGATTAAAGGCGGGCGCCACCATTGCCTAGCGGCTTTTTTTTTTTTTTTTTTTAGGGCAAAGTTTTTCTATACAGCCCAGGCTAACCTAGAACTTGCTGTGTTGTGGGCTAGGCTGGCCTTGAACTTGTTGTAGGTAATTCTCCTACTGCTTTCCCAAGTGTGTGTTGGTTCTTGGAAACCTATGTACAAGTATGTTACATTTACTTCAGCTAAGTAACCACGTTAGAAAATTACTAGGAAGAGATTAAGTGTCCAAGGCTCCCCTCTGAGGTGAGCAGCTGCTGCCACCTAGTGGCTAACCTAGAAATGGCTAGGGCCTCCAGGGAAAGAACCCTTTGGTTCTCCCTCGCTAAGGCAGGGTGTGCGGTGGGGGAGGGTGTGTGTGTGTGTGTGTGGTGTATGTGTGCGTGGCGGGGTAGGTGTGTGTGTGTGTGTCAGGTGTGTGTGTGTGAGGGGTGGTGGTGGAAGTGGGCAGGGGAGTGTGTGTGTATGTGTGTGTGAGGGTATGAGTGTGAGGCAGGTGTGTGTGTGTGCGCATGTGGTGGAAATGGGAGCCCACCTCCAAGCACTGTCACCTTGGGGTGTGTGAAGCTTCTGGAGTCTCCGAAGTCAATAGAGAACTCTGGGTTGAGCAGGAACCCCGAGCGCTGACCGCGCTCCCCAACCTGCCACTGTCGGATCCTGGGCAAGGATACTGGCCTCTTAGCAAAGCCGTACCACAGTAAGAAACGGAAAGCTCACACTCCTGGTTCTGCTGCTGCCCACCAGGGCCTCAAAGGGGGCAGGACACTCCTTTCCAGCTCCCACCGGCTCCCACTCTCCTGTTGTGAGGGCACCAGGAACTCAGCTCCAGTAACTGCGGGAACATCCATTTGTACCCACTTGTACCCACTTGTCTGTCACTGGGTAACTTCAGTGTCTAGGGGCTCTGAGGTCAAGGGCTGGCTTCTTCCTTTCTCAGACTGTGGCAAGAGCCATTTGGCCCTCCTGCTCCTCCTGCACTTGTGCTCAGTCACTGGGGTCCAGAGCCTGCTAAAGCCCCCATGTCGAGGCCCCTGCCCGGACAAGGAGAGGAGAGGGTGGAGGCAGAGAGGCAGAGGCATTGTAGAATAAATAGAACTTTATTCTTTCTCCAGTAGAACTCAGTGGAAACCCAGCAGTAACAGGTACACCAGTGGGCTCCGGGGTGAGACCCCACCCAGGCAGGAGGGCAGGGTAAGCCTGCTCCCCCAGCCCAGGGGTGTAGGGGGAGGGAGGGGACCCCCTGGAGTCCCGTCCTGCGGGGCAAGGAGGGGGCACAGATGAGGGGCAGAGAGGGGTTGGGGGAGGCCAGGGAAATGAAGGAACTCAGGCCAGGTGTGTGTGGATGTGTGTGTGTGTGTTGGAGGGCCCCATGGGGTGCTGGTGGCTATGAGGCTGGGGGCAGGGGTAACTGGGACCCCTTAGCCAGCCCCTTCACAGTGGGGCTGAGGCTTGGATGAAGTGAGCTCTGATGGGCAGTGAGGAGTAGCATCCTACTCCTCCGAGGGGCCCTAGCTTTACCCTCCCCCTACTTCTTGGTGGTCAGAGGCAGAAGCCAAAAGCCAGGATCCCTTCATCCCAGGGGTAGCTGCCTGGGATGCCCACACCCAGTGCTGGGCAGAGGGAGAAGGGAAACTGCTCCCTGCACAGGTCAGGAGACGGCGGCCTTGGAAAGTTAGTATTTCACAGTATTAGAGAGAACAGAGGACGACAGGCTGCGGGGTGGGGTGCATCCACGAGAGGGGAGCCCTTCAGAGCCCTGCCCATCCCAAGGACCCACCCCTTCAGCTCGAGATCCAGCTCCCCCAATACACAGCACAAATTCCTTCAGTATAAATGTGCTTAAAATGGAAATTCTTATTAAAAAAATCAAAACAAAAAAAAATTAAAATAAAAACGAAACCAGCGAGAATTAATATCTGGGGGGTTGGTACGCAGGATATGTACAGGGGGTCTCCCCCACCCTGGACACCCCCCTCTGTCACCATCTGAAGCAGGGGGAAGTTCCCCAACGGGGGAGCGATGGCTTGAGTTCGGAGGACAGGCAGCCAGGTCCCGGCGTTTGCTGGTGATGAAGACGTGGCAAGGTGCGTTGAGGCTCAGGCCCAGGTCCTCACATGGCTCTACGCCTGACCCCTGATGCCAGCCCAGGCTGCCGGAAGAGGGCAGTCCATCTTGGGTCCAGGCCTCTGTCCACAGAGTCACTGCCTCCTCCCTCCTGTCCCCGCAGAAGGTTCCCAGTTCTGTCTGGGAGGAAGAGGTGGGGCAGGGCTGATGGGTCATGTGGCCAGTAGGAAGGCAGAGAAAGCCAGGGCAGGGTTGAGGGTCGTCCATGTTGGAGGTCATGGGGACTGGGTGGCAGGGCTGCTTCTGTGGGAGCTGGGGCTGAGGCTGGGGCTACAGCTACCCGGAGGGGGGGCCAGGCCACCCCCATCTCGGGTTCCGCCCCCCGACTGTCCGCTTAGAGTGTCCAAGCCCTCAGAGTTCTCCAGCATTTCCTGGATAAGAGGTGGCATGGAGCCTGGGATCTCCATCTTCAGGGTGATCACTCGCTCCGCTCCTGTGGGGACGAAGGAGGAGGTCAGAGTCTTGCCCAGAAGGGGGGAATCACAGCGTGAGGGGACCAAATGCCACCCACATGGGCATCTACCACGCATTGCACCCAGGGCTCAGGGACTTGATACAAAAGCCAGCTCTCTAGAGCCCGTAGTGCGGCAACTGGACAAAGCATTATGAATGTAAGGCTTCTGCTTGTCTGCATTTGGCCCTGGGTTGTCCCCTGGGCCTCAAGTCGTGGATTGCCCAGCAGGCACTGCCAAACACCATCACTGCCCCCTTCCTCACAGGAAGCTGAGGTTCGGAACTGGCAAGTGGCCTGCTTGCCAGTCTATACCCACATGACCTGTTACAGAGGCAGGCCTTGGACTACCATGGCAAAGAGACAGCAAGAGCCAGAACCTAGACACAGACGGGGACAGGCCAGCTTCAAATGAGGAAGAGACACAGCCTGACTCAGTCCTGCGCCTCCTTCCGCGCGAAGGACTCACCCTTGGCGCTGATGCTCCGAAGATCCGTGATCTTCATCAGCATCTTGGGGAACATGTGGGGACGGCTGGGCCTCCGTTTCCGGACGTAGACTTTCAGTGCCTCCAGCAGCGGCTCCTGCAGCATGTCCACCTTGTCTGGCTGTTCCAGGTCCTGCCGGTCTGAGCACAAAACCGCCCCTGAGCAGGAGCACCCTCATTCCCAAACCCCACACCCAGCCCACGCTACCAAGGAGGCACACAACTGCATTCCCAGATATGGCCACTTGGGGGCGGGTCTGCCCAAGCCACAGAGGGCAGAGAAGGCTGGCCGCAAGGTAGGCCTGAGAGGATCTCTGGGCTGGCAGACAGCACAGGGCTTTTAAAACTCTAAAAGGAAGTGGGGCGTGGGCTGTTCGAAGCTCTCCACAGTAGCGGTGTTGGTGGAGATGGGAACCCCAGCCCCTAACACAGGGAGCTCTCCCCATACAAAGCAAGGACTTGCCAGGAGCTTCTCCACTCCTGGTCATCATTACTACGACCTGACTATATGAGTGTAACACGGAAGAACAGTAAAATAACAACCAATATTAGCTGGGTCTCACTCTTGATTCTGTAGAAGAGAGTCACCTGGGAGACAGTAAGTGCCCCGAGACCAGAGAGACCAGACCTGCCCCTCCAGGCCGCAGCCCACCTCCAGAGAGCCACCTGAACCTCACCCACCTCCACAGATGAGGCAGATGGCACTGAGCAATCCAGTCTCTGCATCGTCCATCTCCAGGGGCAGCAGCTGGTTGGCGAAGGCAAAAACCAAGTCGGTGAGAGGGCCAAAGCCAGCGTTGTGCATCTGCGTCCGGTTCAGGGTCAGCCCGTCTGAGAAGGTCATTGTGTCTTGTTCAGGCGTATACCGCGTGCAGATTCGCAGAATCTGGGTGCAGAGGATGTACAGGTTCAGGAGACTGGGGCGCCACCCCCCCTTCTGCCCCAACCCCTGGTACGCCAGCTCCAGCATTCCCAGAGGCCTCCCTGGCAAGCGGCCAGAGCATGGCTGGCTGGCTGACAGAATTTTCTCCAGTGATGGAAAGGTTCTGTCTGCACCATCCAGCGCAGTAGCCACCGGCCCCATGTGGCTCCAGAGCACTTGAGATGTGGCTAATGCAGCTAAGGGGCTGAACTGAGTCTAATCGTAATTAAACTTAAACAGACGCACGTGTCCATAGCCAAGGCACTGGGCGGTGGATCTAGGCCATGCCGCCTCCTTACAGAGAAATCAGGAGGGAAAGGCGTTTCCAGTCAGCAAGAAATAAGGCAGAGACTTCCCCAGGACTGTCCCATTCATCCTGAACAGTTTGCTCCCGAAGGTGCCTCCCACATCTGTGCACGGCACCGGGGACAGGCACACGATACCTCCCAAGTCTTCACCCGGGATGTGTCTGAGGAAGAGGTGGTCGGAACCCTGGTGAGGGATTCTATAGAAGCCTCCTGCCAGCCTTGGCTCGGGCAGCTCTCACTACTTCGGGCATCCCACTCACAACTCAGGCCATGGAGCGCTACAGCACACCAACTCTGCCAACTCTGCCAACTGTACCGCGTGTCCCCATAGCAGGCCCTTCCGCTTCCTGCTCCCAGGAAACAGCACCTTCTCAAGATGTACCACTACCAAACGTTAGCAGTATCGCCTCTCCAGGGTCTCTCTTCACAGGGAGGGGACAGGACAGTTCTCACCCCACTGCCAGCCAGCACTATCGGCTTGCAGCATTCATTTAATCGTCCTTGGTCTCTTCCTCTCGAAGAGAGGATGGCAGTATGGCTGCCTCTGGGCTCTGGACGCCCAGTCTAGGTAAATCTTTCTAGGTAATCTTTCTAGGTAAAAATTTCCACCTGGAATGGACAGGTGGGATGGATGTGAGGCTGCATGGAAAAGCAGGTGAACGGGAGCAGCCTGGGTGCTAGGCGGCTGAGTGGGCAGACGGACACGGGAGAGGGAGAACATGGACATTCGGGTTCTGGGAAAGGTTCTAGAAAGTGACTGTTTGGCCAAGACTAGATCCTATGGATCCATATGCAGGGACCCGGCCGAAGGGCAGGGGTAAATGCTCACCAGGATATCCAGGCACGCTGCCTTGAGGAGGGTGATCTGGTCAGCAATGGTGAGGGTGGTGAAGCCGGGAAGTTGCTTGGCGAACTCCACCGTCTTAATGATGCACTTGGTGGAGAGTTCACTGAACTTGTCCCAGAGGTCAATGTCCAGGGAGACGCGCTGTTCTGAGCTGTTGTTCTGAGAGAGGCCAGGAGAGAAGGGCCTCAGTTATGCACCCATTCTTCAGCCTGTCCCCTGCTTGCCCTCCACCCGGCCTTTGCTTCCAGACAGCGGCTAGGAGAAAGGTGCCGGAAGGGGTGGCAGAAGGGGCCCTGGGCGTGAGGCACCCCTTCTGGCCAGCATACCGTAGTGTACTTGCCCAGCTGGCAGAGCGCCGGGAAGGTCTCCTGGTGAGCCTTGCGCACCTTCTCAATGAGCTCCCCCACCTCCGGGGTCAGCGTGTAGCTCTCTGAGCACTCGGCCTTCGGCGCCTCTTTCTTCTTTTTGTTTCGATCGTTTCGCACCGCTGTGGGGGACGTGGACGGGTTAGGGAGAAACTGCTGTGGCTCAGGGCCAGGCCCAGCCCATGCTATCCACCAACCAGACAGACACACAGACAGACGCACGCACGCCCGCCCGCCCGCCCGCCACGCACACAAAGCAATGTGACATTCCAGCCCTCCGTGTCTACCTGACTCATCTTAAATCCTAGTCCAGGCCCATGACCACAACTGGGGCCACACGTGCACACAATGCCCTTGGCCAGCATGTAGCGCTCTGTCATGCATCTACTCCAGCCCACACTCTAAGAACATGAGCCCAGACTGGCAGCCATGCTAACTGAGTCCCCGCTCTGTGCCTGCCTGCCAGGAATCCCTAGTGTCCCAGCTCTCCTGGCAGCAGTCTCCCTGGGGGTTCCCTGAGACTGGCTCAAAGCAGCTCCCTGGGCAGGCAGGGAATAGGACTCCCCAACTACAGAATGGGGGGCCTCCCGGGTGGAAGAATCTCTTGGCCCATTAGCCGGGGGCGCTGAGCCGCACACACCACTCGGCTTTAAAGAAGCAATGGGGTCGTTACCAGCCGATTATCCCAGACACACAATCACTCACAGGCCCTCGGTGGCGGCTGCTGACGCGGGAGGGAGGGAGGGGGGGGGTGGGGGTCCAGGGGGGGGGGGGGGGGTGGGGGGGGGGAGCTGGCATAATTTGGAGATCACTCATGTCGATTCTGCAAATTCAATAAAGTGCAGGGGAGAGCAGGGAGAGGGAGCGGCAGAGTGGGGGGATAATTTGGGAAGAGAAAATTGCAGCTGTGACAAGACGTTTATCATTCGGAAGCTTTAATTCTATTGAAATGGCAGCTGCTCAGCTCCGGGGCACAGAGCAGCCAGGGAGAGGGGAAGGGGGGGGCTGTTGGTGGGAAGGAGAGGGGGTCCCCACCCTCATCCTGTCCTTCTGCAGTGGAAAGAAGGAAGGTGGACCAAAGGGAGAAGGAAGTGACAGGCTTTTAGCAAAAGGTCCCGTCCTGCATGTCCCAAGTAGTCAGACTGCAGAGGACAGTCACCACTTCCTGAGTGCCGGACCAGCACTCCCAGTCTTTGGTGACAGGAGGTAGCAGGATACCCAGCCCTCTATTCCTGGCTGGGGCTCTTGGTGTGTTACTCAGAACCATCTTTCCCTGCACCCCTCCCCACAAAGGGCTGGAGGGGGTCCTGCAGCCCCCTCCCCCACCTCATCCCCCAAGGCTCGGGCTCCATGGCAACGGCCACGCAGACAAGGAGGCGTCTGTCAGCGTCATTTATCTCTGACATCATCAATCACTGGTCACCACGGCAACACCCATGATTCAACACAAGAGGGTCTCTCCCTGTCCAGCCCTCCTTCTGTCCCTCCCTCCTTCAGGGCCTCAGCTGGGCCCAAACTGGAAACCCCTGTTCCTCCTGGATCTGAGAAGCCAATTCTCTCCCAACTCGAGAGGGAGTTCCAGGTCTATCCAGACAATGGCTTCAGGGGGTCCCATGGCAGCCCCCCCAAACACAGACATACCAACTAACACCCTCTGGAGTTCAGGCCCATCCCCTAAGATACACAAGGGACAGGGGTATGTTACTGAGCCACACCCCAAAACCAAGCAAAGTCCAGGAGAAAGCTAACCTGGAGGTAGGTACCCATGCGCAAGCATGCAAGGGCGCAAGCAGACATGCTAATGGGAAAATTCTGTGCATTCTGTGCTTAAACAACGTGCGGACACAGAGCCCACCAGACTCACAGATTCGTGTAGCTGTCCACAAAGTAACCTTAACCTTCTAGAAGCCTGCCTGCCACAGCACACATGCTCCCACATGTGCACACAGGCACACAGCACCCCCACCCCCAGCCTTCAGAAACGCCGCAGGCCCCACCTTGGGCGGGGCTTGGCCCCCAGCCCTGTGACACTCACACTCCTTGGACATGCCCACTTCGAAGCATTTCTGCAGTCGACAGTACTGGCAGCGGTTCCGGGTCACCTTGTTGATGATGCAATTCTTGTCCCGGTGACACGTATACACCATGTTCTTTTGGATGCTGCGTCGGAAGAAACCCTGGGTACGGAGGGAAAGGAGACAGGTTATCCACACCCACAGTGGGAACAGCCCGGCGGCTACCCCCAAGCTTCTGCCATGGCCTGTCTAAGAAGGCAGGAAAAGGAGGGAATATGACTCCCCCAAAAGGACACCCAGAGAACCCAGGCCTGTCTGTATCCCACAGGCTGGCTTGGAGTCTCGACCTCCATCTCTGTATCTGATTCTCCTCTTCCAAAGAAAGGGACTCAGGGTTGAATCTGGGGTAGGACACACAAGGCTGGAGATGGGAGAAAGAGGTGTCTGAGACTCACAGCCTGGGACTCAGGACATAGTGCAGTAACCAGCAGGAGGAGCTGGGTAAGGTGGCACACACCTTTAATCCTAGCACCCTGGAGGCTGAAGAAGCAGGTGGATCTCTGAGAGTTTGAGTGTAGCCTGTTCTACATAGAGTTGCAGGATAGCCAGAGCACCGTGATAGGGAGACCCTGTCGCAAAAGACCAAAAGAGGCTGGGCGGTGGTGTGGCACGCCTTTAATTCCAGCATTAGGGAGGCAGAGGCAGGCGGATCTCTGTGAGTTCAAGGCCAGCATCTTCTACAGAAAGTTAGTTCCAGGACAGCCAGGGCTATACACAGAAACCCTGTCTCAAAGCACAAAACAAAACAAAGACCAAAAGAAGACAGCTGGAGGAAGCTGAGAAGGGACCTGCGCACAGTCATGCACACTTGTGAGCAAGACAAGACATTCACCAACTACACATATACACTGGACAGTCACAGAAAGGCCAGGCTGTCCAGGGTTCTGTAATACAAGTTAAGTGGGCACAGAAACTGAGTGACTAGGCAGCAATAAGGCAGGACAAGCTGGACAGGACTAGCACACAGGCACCGTTGTACACTACCCTTGACTTTGTTCTCACACCTGGAGATGGCTAGTCTAGGCTGAGATTCCAAGAGACCCAGGTACTGAAGGTGTACACATTCTAGACCCTATTTTGGTTTGTTTGTTTTCTTTTCTTTTCTTTTTTTTTTTTTTTGCGTTTTTTTTTTGAGACAGGGTTTCTCTGTAGCTTTGTAGCCTGTCCTGGAACTAGCTCTTGTACACCAGACTGGCCCCAAACTCACAGAGATTCGCCTGTCTCTGCCTCTGCCTCCTTCTCCCGAGTGCTGGGATTAAAGGCGTGCGCCACCACTGCCAGGCTTCTACACCCTTATCTTTGAAGGAAGAAACTGGAGCAGAGGCCCTGCTATTAGGTATAGGGAAGATGTCCAGGACCAGAATGGCTAGCCACACATGTGCTTAGAGATCAGTCCAAGTAAGAAAGCAGGAAACCCAGCGGCCACTAGGGAGTCCACAGCCTGGACACCTGAAGGGAGCCAAGGCAGGGTGTCTGCTACTAACTGTCTCCTGCAAGGATGCCATGAAAAGCTTCAGGCAAGGCCACTGGGGGCAGGCCTCCTGGGTCCCCAGCCAAGAGTCAGGCAGCAGCCAGCTCACCATGGCAACCTGGGCAACAGTGGCAGGGCCAGTGTATACCCTGCCAGCCGGAGGAGAGAGACAAGGAGAGCATGGCAGGAGGGGGCTACTGGCGTGAGGGAGCCACTGCTCATTTATGGAGGAGGCCCTGCGGTAGACGCCCTCCTCCTCCTCCACAGTTGCTGAAGAAGCAAAAGCGAGTGGCTTCGGCTTCGGTAACAACCCTGCCAACTGCACACTGAGGCCACAACAGGGGGCATCCGATGCATCTACTCAAAACCGTCTTCCACGATGCCCTCACTCACCTTGCAGCCCTCACAGGCGCTGACCCCATAGTGGTAGCCCGATGACTTGTCCTGACAGACGAAGCACGGCTTGTAGATGCGGGGCAGAGGTGGTGGCGAGGGGGGGCTGGGCACTATCTCTTCCGAACTGCTGCTCTGGGTCTCGATGGCTAGAAGAGAAGGAGGAGAGTTAGAGACCCGGGCCACTACCCTCAGCACAGTAACCCTGGCCTCGACACTGAGGGCAACATTCAAAGCCTGCGCAGTGATGGTCTCTGCAGCCAGGGGAAGGACAGTTAAATATCCAGACCCCCCCATGCCCCCCCATGATTCCTATGTCCCCAGGACCCACCTTCAATTCCAGATCTCTCTCTCTCTCTCTCTCTCTCTCTCTCTCTCTCTCTCTCTCACACACACACACACACACACACACAGAACTATAATTGGAGGGTGAGGGGAGTGAGCTTGGTTTCAAAGCCCTAATACAAATAGCACCTTAGGCAGGGCTCCCCCAAGTTCAGAAGGAGTTAAGGCTTAATGAAGAGGGAGGGAAGGACATAGACTACAAGCAGAGGAAGCAGGGGTCAACAGGATATTCAAAGCCGGCCACTCCCTGGCCCCTTCTGCTTCCGCTCTCCCTCCTCCACCCCCTCCAACAGCAGTCAGAGCCCCTCCCCCACCCAAACAATCCCCTGGCTAAGGTGGGGTCCAAGGCAGCACACAGGAAGAATCAGATGTTGGGGCCAGGCAGGAGAGCACGCCCTGAGATAGAAGGGGGGGGGGACGGACCTCCTGGAGACAGAAGAGCCCCCACAGCTCCTAGAAGCCCATCACTCTAGATGCCCCCTGTCTGTGGGGAAGACAAAAGGGGTCTGTTCCCATCAATGCTCTGTCTGTCTGTCTAAAGACTACGTCCGGGTTACTACCCCCTCCGCTGTTATTCCGCTCCAAGAGGGCAGCCAGGAGGGGGTGACCTAGCCAGCAGGGGCAGTCCACCCAAGCAAAAGCTCTGTGCCTGGCTCTCTGCCCACCATCCCAGACAGAACATGGCTACTTGGGTGAGAGTTGGCTGTGCCCAGAGCCTGGGCTGCTGGGGATACAAGATGACGGATAACTATAGCAGAGACCATCCCAGACTCCCAGAGGGCCCTCCAGCATCCTCCTTTGTCCCCTCCATTTCCACGGAGTCAAGCATGGGTGGGAATCCGTACCATCCAGCTCCGTCCTGAGCTAGTGTACTCCACTGAGCGCATGGATGGACAGGGTTCCCGTGCCTAAGCATCTAACAGCTGTGTCTGTCAGAGACTCCTGTGGCGACAGGCGGAGAGGTAGGACACTTGGGGACACTGGAACCTGGCTGCATACTACCACCCTCGTTACCTGCAAACACACCAGGGAACTATGCCAAGGGCCTTGGCAGGGCTTCTCCTGGCTCCTGCTTGGGCCTGGACACCAGCCTAGTCAACCAACATGGCTGTAACCCATGTCCCCTTCTCTAACCAGAGACCATCCTGAAGGAGGACTTTTCTGTCTACAACCCCGTGAGGTGTGGGCTGACCTGCAGCAATCTGCTCCTCATACCTACACAGAATGCCCTGCCTTCTCACCCCACTTCCTTCTCGGGAGGCCTGACAACAGCTGCTGGGGGGCGGGGTTGGGGGGCCTGGGTGAGGCCAGGAGGCAAAGGGGCGAGTGACAAAGGAACCCTTTGTCGCCCTAACTTTTTCCAAGACGTAAAAGCAGTAACAATAGACAATCCAGACTTAGGGGGGCATCAAGGACAAGGGGGGAGCCTGGCCTCCAATCCTGGTCAGCATTCCAACAAGCACAGGAAGAAGGCACTGACCTGCCCACCCCCAACCTTCAGACTGAGCCAAACTGGAGGGAAAGGAGGACTGAAGGAGATCTGGGGTCCAGGGCTGAGGGAGGGTGGGAGGCATGGCACAGAGGGAAGGGAGAACCTGGATGAAGAGCAAAAGGCCAAGGACAGACCAGAGGGGCAAAGGCTCAGAGAAACCAAGAGTTAAGGCAAAGTCCAGAGAGTTGTTTATGGAGACTGAAGAGCTAGGCTTTTAAAAATCGTTTTCTGGGAGATGGTGGCATAACCCTAGGGGGTTCGGAGCTGGGTGAGATCTCTTTTCAAGCCACCCCTAGCAGCTGGCTGGCGGGTCACCTCTGAGGCTGTAGCTTTGTCTGCACCCCACTTCACCTGTCACCCAGGTAACTCAATCACTGAGGTTTTAACTCAAATTCCCCACCTTTCCAGGCCTTCAGTCTGCAGCCTAGGGAGGCTAGTGTCAAGACCAAGCCAGAAGTGCACAGGTCTTCTCAGCCTCTGCTAAGACAAAGTTACAGTGTAGCATGAGTAGGTGTGTGTGTGTGTGTGTGTGTGTGTGTGTGTGTGTGTGTGTGTTGGGGGGGGGGAGTACCCTGGCCTGGCCCCACCCATCAGCCACCCTCCCTTGAGGCCCCAGCCCACAAATCTCTCCACTTCCTGCAGCAAGGCTGAGGCTGGAGAAGGACCAGACCTCAGCTCAAAGTTCCAGCAAGCAGCCAAGGGCTGGAAACGGCCCAGGAAGCCCGGCGTCCCCTCACACCGCCACTGCCAGGGCGCCCCTCCCCCGCCCCCCTCCTGGGCGGGCGTACACAAGGCGCAGGTCCCCACGCCCCAAAGCCGTTCGCAGGCTCGAGCAAGGGGCCAGTTTCCTGAAGGAGATCAGCAGGAAATCAGCTGGGCCCCTGGCCAGCGGTTCCCTTCCCAATCCAGCTGGCGCCCTTTGCAGCTCCCTTCATAGCCCCTAGGGAGAGATGAGGAGGGGGTGTGGAGCCCTCCGTATTGCCCTTTCTTCTCATGGGGAGAGGGCGAAGGCGGTTCTGGGTGCAGCACCGCCAGAAAGCTCAATGCAGGGGCAAGTCCCGAACTTAGCCATCGGTCGATGATAAGCATCTCTCCCAACCCCCCCTCCACACACACGCACTACGGGCATCCACGTGCTTCACATTCTTGGACGTCTGGAAGCGGGCGGAGGCGTGAGCTGCAGAGACTGGTGGGGGACAGATGGGGAGCCACATCCTGTGCACCCCTTGTCCTCTAGTGTACTGAAATGGGGGCTGTGGGAGGGAAGCAGAGTCCCCAAGGCCTTGCCGTACCCAGCAGGTCTCCACCCACAGCCAACCTGTTCTCTTCCCTCCGCTGATACAGGCCAGAGGGTAGGATTCTCCAAGGCATCTAGAGGTGACTCCAGGCACTCGTCTCCATACACCAAAAGGCTCTTTCCAAGGTGGTGACACAGGTTCCACTAGCAGAGGTCCAGTGGTCACCAGGACTACAGCTTACACCCCAGAACAGCCTCCATGAGGGGTGAAGGCTGAACATAGACAATACTGTTCTACTCAGGCCACAACCGCTATCCCACAGCAGGTTCTGAGTGCAGACAGGTCTCCACTCCCCCATGTCCAGTGGTTGGAGAAAGGAGGGTCGGGGAGGCTCCCTGGATGAGCTGTCTCTCTCTACTTGCCGCCTCCCTCAAGTTCCAGGCCAAGAAGAGCGCAGCTGTCCTAGAGAGAGAACTTGGGGAGAGACCCCAGGGGCTGAGGTCCCACCTTCCCCCAGTGCAATGGAGAAGGCAGCCAGAGAGGGGAGCCTGGGGCTCAGCCCAATTATCCCGACCCCAGGGGTGACTCCTTACAGAGCTGGGATAAGGGGAAGGTCAGGATGCTATTTCTCACCTTTTTCCCCAAAGTCAGTGATCACCTACCCCTCCTGGTCTAAAACTTAACAGCTGATTCAGCCTTGGAGGCAAAGGTCAGGGGGCAGGACAATAGGAAAGGCCCAAGGAAGGGTAGGGGTGGGCTGTCCTTCTCCTCGGGTCTCCCTTCGGATGCAGGAAGGGTTGTGGGTGGACAAATCCTTTTTCCCCAATATGCTAGGCCAGTGGTTCTCACCCTTCCTAATTCACAACCCGTTAATACAATTCCTCGTGTTGACCCCCAAAGTCATAACATAAAAAAGATAAAGTTATTTTCGTTGCTACTTCATAATTGTAATTTTGCAACTGTTATGAATCGTAATGTAAATGATAACGTAAATGATATCTGATATTTGATCCCCGTGAAAGGGCCCTTCAACACCCCCTCCAAGGGGTCATGACCCATCGGTTGAGAAAACCTGTGGTAGTCCTTAAGAGATCCAAACTTCCCTTGCTCCCTGGCAGGCAGAAAGGCGGCAGCAGGTTTGGGAAGGTGGGGGAGCCTCCTGGGAAGAACCGATCCCACAGCAGAGTGGGAGATGAAACCTGAGCCACCTAACAACACCTTAGCACTAGCTCCCTACCGTCTAATACACACTACCTCACAGCCGGGCATAAACATGCCCAGGTGTGCACCCTGGGGCATGCGCACAGGTCCTGGGTGGGAAAAGAACCTCCCCTTACAGCAGAGCCTGAACCCAATTGAGCCAGACTGGAGAGGGTGCTCAGCTGCCAGGACATCAAGGTTCGCAGTGGTCGTCCCTCTGAACAGCACAAAGCCTGGCCCTATTTCCCTAGACAGGGTAACAAAAGGACCCAAGAATAGTGGAGGCACATTCTCACTGCCTAAGAACCCCCCACCCCGCCCTTAAAAACCGAGTATTTCCTAGAGAACAAAATTAAGAGGATTCTTCACACCAGCTTCTTTTCCCCTTCCCAGCATGAAAGTGCGCCCTGCCAGCCAGGTGCCTAGTGCCAGACCTTCCCCTAGGATGGACTAGATGCCTCTCAAATTGTAAGGGGTAGCCAGGGCAGCAACTGTTTTGTGAAGTCCCTTTCTGCCACACCCCACTATCAACACCAAAGACAGGGAGCAGTCAGTCCCCTACCACCGGGCACAGCGAGTCAAGAGCAGGGGCTGGGGGCATCAGTTGCAGCGCACGGGAGAGACGTCTCCAAAGGCTTTGACGGGGGGTGGGATCTGGGGAGGTGGCCCCTCCTCTTTAGAACAGACAAGCCCACAGCCAGGACCTTTACCCCACCCTCCAGCAGGCTGTGGAACTATGGGTTCCTAACCAAGAAGATGTAAATGGGGGGCCAGAGGCTGGAATTTCATGTCTCCGGGAGAAGGAATACTCAAAAAGTTACTGAGCCCTACCATGGAAGCGCGCCAGGGTCACTGGGTGGAGGGCAACTGTCCA